CGAGTATGTGGCCTGGAAGAGATCTTAGCATTTGTTGCAAGATGTGCCCAAGGTCCCCAAATCAGTGAAAACTAAGACCAGCATGAAGATCACCAAAAGCCACCAACCTCCCCCCTGCCCTGTGATGTGACAACGTGATCTTAAGTGTGGCTCTTGACTGCATCCCCCACCAGACTCAGTTTCCCACTTCCCCGAGTGAGAAGAACTCCCGAGGACCGCGCTCCTGCGGGCCTTGTGCAGCTGGGAGACCCCTCCGCTGGGCCCCGACCGATGTCTGAATTTCTCTTTTCCCCAGCTCCGTGCCTTGGCCGTTTGCGTGTGTCTCCATCCTAGACATCATTTTCTTCCCGTGCTAATTGCTTAGTTGTAATTCTTCGGAGGCAATTTTCTTCTGTTCCCTCGTTTCTGCAGTTAACACCCTCCAATTAATTTCATAGCTCTTGAAAGTTCTCCCACAAGTTACCCTAAAACCCTCCCAGTGTAACTTCAAGTGTGATCGGTGTCTCCCAGCGGCACGGCTCCGTTTCCCCACCCTCTGCCTCGAGACGCTCTGCGCAGGAGAACCCCAGGAGAGTGTAGAGAGGAAAACCCAGGCTCAAAGAGTAAAGCAGTTTGCTGAAGGGTCCAGGATAGACACCGCTGGGGTCTGAGCCTCCAGCTCCAGCTGCCACCAAGCTAACAGCTGCTACTCATGGCGGGGAGTGTCCATGTGGCTGTCAGCTGTCAGGTGCACACCTGTCTCACTGGGGGCCTCCGGGGAACTTGATGGCCACGCTGGTCCCTCCTCTGGTGATTCTGCAGAGCCCCGAGATGCTGCCTGGCATGCAGGAACAGAAACCCAGGGTCTTGGCAATCTGCATGGACAGGTGAAAGACATCGCAGCCATGATGTCTCGAGGGGAGAGGGGGAAATCCCACACCAATGACATTTGCAGAGAAGTGAAAAACGATTTCAGATTCTATTTTCCCATCTCTCTCAGCAATCCCCTGGTGGTATTTTATCTAGTAAATAGGAGGTCTGGTTGTTATTCTCAATTATGATATTAATTCTCCCAGTGACCCTGGGCTACTTTCCTTCCTTCTCAGAGCCTGTTTCTCTCTGTCACCACCTGCTCAAGGACAAAAAGATGTTCTCACAGGAAGGAGCAGACCTGGGCCTCATTACCCAGCAGGCAGTGCAGACAGGGCTAAGGGGTGGCCTGTGATGGGTGGACAGATGTTCCCTCTCCCTTTTTCCTATTGAAAAGCTCTTCCCTTTTTGTGCCTGCTTATCGCCACATACTCTCTGCCCACCTCCCTGTCCAGGCCTGCTCTCACCCTCCCTCCCAACCCCTAGCAGCAAATTCCCAGCCAGCTGGCCTCCAATCTCACGGCATGGGGCTGCTTTGATATTATTTTCTTATTTTTTTCCAGCTATCTCCCCTCCTTGGGAGGCGGGGGACGACAAGGTTGCCACGGGTAATTGGCCTCAGATTTGTCTCCCTCAGCATTCAACGACTCCTCTCCCTCTCCCTCTCATTCCCCCCACCCATCGCCTCCATCCCGTGCGGTTCACTAAGCCATCTGGAATTGGGCCCAGAATTCCCTTCTCCCCCATGTGTGAGCAGGTGTGAGCAGGGAAGGCCAGTCTGAGCACCATGTGGGAGGCCCAGGCTCCCCCCAGCATGGGCCACAGATTCAGAAAGCTCTCTTCAGTGACAAAGGGGAAAAACTCCAATAATAACCTGCAGAGACCCCAGGCTGACAATCTGCAAATACAGATGAAAACATGTCCCTGATGGAAAGTCTAATGATTTTCTCTCTCATTCGGAACAGAAGACTAATTTTCAAATATTGGTCACCGGGAAAGGAAGGGCTTCATTGGTGCAGGAGCTGCTGTCCAGCCTGAAGAAGACAGTTCCTCACAGCTAGAGGGCTCTGAGAGTCCTCACAGGCCTAGCTCTGTTAACCCAAAGCCCAGAGCACAATCCTGAGGGGGAGCAGCAGCCTGTCTTGTGGGATGGAGGAGGAGGGTGAAGCTGGTGGTATCTGCAGGTCTGGGTTCCCATCCACATTTCTCTACAGACCGAGGGCAGTCTCCGTAGGAACCACCGGGGTTTCTGTTACTTGGGGAGACCTTCGGGGCAGATCTGCACCATATCACCCCCTGAGACTCAGGGTGCAGTCACAAGGCTTAACAACCCATGAGCCATCAAGCTATAGCTAGCCATAGGGATAGAGCAGGTTTGCATGATTCTGGGGGCCTGAAGGGACCAGAGTGGCCAGGACCGAGACTCTGAGCAAGAAATCCTGGAGTCCAAAGGAGCAGCCAGTGTCCACCTGAGACAGGAGGCATTTACTATTTCAGAAGCCAGCCTGGGCCAGCAGGTGCCTCGATGATCCTCAGCACCACACCCGGCTGTGGCCCCCGTCCACCTCGACGATCAGCACCACACCCAGCTGGGGCCCCCAGCCCACCTCGACGATCAGCCCCACACCCAGCTGGGGCCCCCGTCCACCTCGACGATCAGCACCACACCCGGCTGGGGCCCCCGTCCACCTCGACGATCAGCACCACACCTGGCTGTGGCCCCCGTCCACCTCGATGATCAGCACCACACCCGGCTGCGGCCCCCGGTCCACCTCCCATAGAGTTGAGCCTTCCTCTCTGCAATGTCAGCCTCATGCACACAGACCAGGGGCTCAAGAAAATCAGCCGCTGCACTTGGGAGTCTCCTACTTGGCCAGCCTCCCTGGCCTCAGCTTCTTTATCTTGTGTTGGGGACAATCTTAGTTCCTGGAGCCTTGGAAGACAACCCTTGCTCCATGCTTGGCCCTCTAGCTGAGCGTAAGGGGGATGCTCACTGTACTTCTGATTTCCAAAGCAGGTGGCCAGGTGCAGGGGTGGCAGGAAGGACATGGGCACCGTTCCCTCTCCTGCCCACCCAGAGGGCTTCACATGCCACTGGTAGATGACACTCAAGGTGGTCAAGCACCAGTCCTCACTTCAAAGTCGGGGGACAGGAAGGGAACTGGGGTGGCTGCTGGGTAGTGGGATGGTCTGGAGGGAGCGTCGTTATGGAGCTCTCAGGCCTGGGCCAGGACAGCCTGCTGAATCCTCATCACACCGAACAGGCCTGAACCACATGGGTGCTTTTCAGACCTGCAGACTCTGGGCCTTACTTTCTTCCTGTCTAGTGAGAGTCACGAGAAGCTGAGCCTGGGAAAGAATGACTCTAGCAATTCTGTTGCTTTAGGACAGGACCGTCACCTTACGCTGACACCCCAAATTCTGAAGATAGAGCCTTCACCAAGCTCCTCCTTCTCCGTGTAGACCACCTGGCTCCGAGGCTGGTGTCTCACATCCCCACCTCAGGGGCCTGGTCTGTGAAATGAGAGGGAAGCAGAGTGACTTCCCCATCAGTCCTCTCTGAATCTGTTTCTCAGGAAGTGGGAAGCATCTTGCCTCAGTCCCATCACAGAGCAGCTTGATGGGAACTGCCACAGCGAAGCTTGCCTCGCCAGCTGCCACCACGGACGGGACAGTGGCGTCTGCTGGGGTGGAAAGGCTCCAAGCCGGGCTTGACCACTTCACCCCGATGTGACCCTGGACACGTCCGTTCTCAGTCCTGGGACAGTGCTCTCTTCCTGGCGGGATGATCCCTGCTCTCCAGCGGCCAGGACGCAGACAGTGAAATCACAAATCAGTGAGACAAATAACTGCTGTAAAGGCAGAAAACACCGTGGCCGTGGAAGTGAGGACGTGGAGGGGAGCAGCTGCCTCGCTGCAAGCTGGCATCTGAGCTGGTACCTGAATGCCACGTTCCGATGTGGTGGGAACAGAGGCAGCACAGCTTAGGAGAAGCTGTGCAAGGGCCCTGGGGTGGGTACAGGTGGGTGGAGTAAGGAAATGGAGAGATGGCTGATGGGACAGGGGTCTAAGAGGACAGGTGAGAGAGGCCAGCAGCAGGCAGATGTTCAGAGCCTCTGGGGATGGGAAATTCATCTTAGCTGGGAGAATTAAAGAGGGGGTGAGTTAAGGTAATCACCGGATCACTGCCAGGTGAGTGCTCTCTTTGTCTTTACCCTGGGACAGCTCCACTGTGCTGAGTCACTTCAGTCACATGGAGACTTGGGGCCCCAGATGTCAGGATGTGTGTGAGAACTCCGGTTCTCTGTGCACGGTACATGATGACCACAACATACTCTTCCTTGTTTCCTCAAACCTAAAATATGGGCTCAGCTTCTCAGGGCTTCCAGGTCCTTGAAGGAGGTATCCCGGAGGACGGAGCCTGCTGTTTGGGATCTGCTTCCTGTGGGAGGAAGGTTTGCTGTCCCTTTGGGGAGTGCCTGTTCCCTGCCTCTAGGGATGGACTGATCGGCCACTTGCCTGAAGAGTCTGCAGACCCTCTCTAGAGGCTTGGCTCTGGGGACAGGAGTAGGCTGCAGGGAGAAGGAGCAGAAAGAAAGGGTGCAGAGGCAGAGCGTGAGGGAAAGGCTTCTGTTGCCATGGAGGGAGCTGCAAGGTATTCTGGGATCAGCATTTGAATTTCAGAGGGGCAGGGGTGGGACAGGTGGCTGGTGATGGTGATGGGCCAGGGTCATTCTTCTGTCCTTAGTGCTTTCCCTGTATCCCAGAAGACAGTGAGTTCCCACCCCCATGAGTGGGGACTGGAACCTCTGCAGTAGGCCTGGCCACCCCACCCCCATCTATGCCCCCCACCCCGCTATCCCTTTCCTGTCCCCTTGGTCTGCCTTTTGTACAGGAGTAGAAGCGGCCCCTTTCCAGGAGGCCTGTTTGCCAGCATGACAGCAGCAAATTAGTGCTCTTAAAAGGCATTCAGCATTTATCCAGCAAACGCACTAGCTGCGAAGGGGGCCTGTTATGCCTTCTCCCCGAATCTGCTGAAAGGGGGTTTGTGGTGCATCTTAATCGACTTCCTTCCACCCACCACATTAAATGCATTTAATCTGCTCTTGCAAATGGCTAATTTTGAAAATCCGCTTATCAGAATTAGGTCCTCAGCATCCATATTTATTTACGTTTCATTTTCATAAATTTTTTGTCCCTGTGTGTGTGACTGAATTCTGTTTTCTATTGTCTGGCTGTATCTCATAAGTCCAGGGTGGACAAGGGCCAGGTAAGGAGCAGATTGGATGTGGGAATGAGGAAGGATGCCAGGGTGGGCTTAGGGGTGAGCTTGAGAATGACTGCCTCACTGGATCCCAGGCTCTCGGGGCAGGCCTCCATTGGTCCAGGGATCCCAGGCTCTTGGGGCAGGCCTCCATTGGTCCAGGGATCCCAGGCTCTTGGGGCAGGCCTCCATTGGTCCAGGGATCCCAGGCTCTTGGGGCAGGCCTCCATTGGACCAGTGATCCCAGGCTCTTGGGGCAGGCCTCCATTGGACCAGGAATCCCAGGCTCTTGGGGCAGGCTTCCATTGGATCAGGGATCCCAGGCTCTTGGGGCAGGCCTCCATTGGATCAGGGTAAAGAGCAACCACAGCAGAAGCATGCAGAAGTAGTTGGAACCAACTGCTTTTCCTGGTATCTTCTGGGGACCAAAAACAAGTTCAGTCCTGAGTGCTCAGTTGGCACCACTTAGTGAGAGCTAGCTACATGGTGTAGATAGGAAAACTCAATGTCCAAACCACACACCTTCCCCTTGGTGTCTTCCTGCCAACTGTTTAAGGAACAGCTTCTCCGTCTGAGAGCATGAATGTAGGGCATGGCTGTGAGAAGCAGATTCAAGAAAGAGGGAAAAAAGAGGACTCACGAGCTTAGCCTGTAGATCCCACACTTGGCCTTCCTAACCACATCCAAGCTTTGAGGGATTGACAGGGGCAGCCAACGAGCTGGGAAGAGCAGCCAGGACATCTGCCCTTTGGAGCTCACTCCCCTGTACTCACCTGTCCCTTTATATAAGCATGTTTTCAGAACACGCTAGAGCCAAAAAAATAAAAAGAAAAACCAACCGGATTTCCTTTTGGCGTCTACCAGGCTCCTTCAATAGTCAGTGCAGTTCCTCAGCATGTGGGGTGGAAGGGTGGAGATCTGCTTCTTGTTCACCATGGACTTGGGAAGAAAGTCTCAGAGAACCCAGCAGTAACACTTACCAAGCGGGCAACCACGGTTGTCCAGGGCTGCTATGCTCTCAAAGGACAGCTGTGTTACTTCTGTGGCCACCTCATGGGACTCAGCAGGAGTAGTCAACTTTGTTTTTGGTTGGAAGAGGAATGCCTTAGTTACATTCAGTTGTTGAGTCCAGAGCTGGGTTGCTTACAAACCGGCATTCAAGGTTGCAGTTCTGGCAGGTTAGACATGTGCTTGGGAGTCTGGAACCCTTGGATCCTCGTCTGTAGAATGGATGGGGCACCCATGACAAATACCTCCCACGGCAGTGTGAAGAACGAAGTTAAGGCTTCAGGGTGGCAGACTTGATGAGGACACACACCTAACAATTAAACAGTAATATGTGGGCTGGGGGTGTAGCTCAGTGACAGAACACTTTTCTGGCATCTGTGGAGCTTTGGGTTGGAAGATCCAGTTAAACACACACACACACACACACACACACACACACACACACACACACACACACACAGAGGCGTTTATATATATATATATATATATATATATATATATATATATATATATATATATATATATATTTTGTTCAGTCAAACTCAGGAAATACACTCAATGATCTGCTGTTTTCCAACATACAAAGCCCAGCCATGCAACACCTGAAAAGCTCACTGAACAGTGGGTTCCACCCTGGCGCCAGGAGCTGGGAGAATAGCAAGGCAGACAGTTGACTTTGCCAGGGTTAGGAACCCCACTCCATTCCCTCTTCAACCTCCTGCTTTTCCCTGGAGTTGAATGATTTTCCCAAGCATATACCAGAGCAATCTCTTTAGTCTCATGTGTCTGATTCTTTCCACAACAGCTACCTGGGAAAACAACTCCCTGTTTTTTAATTTTTATTTTGTTTATTATTAATGCATGTATTTTGTGATTGATGGAGCAGCACACGCCATGACATGTGTGTGGAAGTCAGAGGACAATTTTATGTGGGTCCCAGGGATTGAACTCAGGTCTATAGCAAGCACCTTACCCACGGAGCCCACAGGCCCAATAACTTGTTCGGAGAAGATGAAATTTCATTCAGTCCCAGGTGAGAAGGGTGTGGTGGTGCCGTGAGAAGGCGGCTGTGGTGCAGGCTGTGTGCACATGCACACTGAAGGAAGTGGCTGCAGTGCCTGCTGGGAGATTTGTGAATGAATGAGCTGTGTGTGCACAAAAGTCATGCACCGAAAGGGCATGGTTCAAGGGAGTGATGGACTTGGTAGGAGCAGTTCCTCTAGTGTCCACATTGAGTCAGGACCTCCCTCCTGAGCATTCTGGGATTTGGGGAGGGGAGCTGGGAAATAAAATGGACTGATGGAGGCTTTGTTGGCACATTCTCTACCATGAGTTCTCAGGGGAAAAAGTTATAGGGTACTAGACAAATAGGTGGCTCATCGGTTATAAGCACTGGTTGCTCTTCTAGAGGACCTGGGTTCAAGTCCCAGCTCACAACCACCTATAACTCCAGTTCCAGGGGACCTGATGCTCTCTTCTGGCCTCCATGGGCACTATATTCATGTGGTACATAGACATACTTGCAGGCAAAACATTCACGTACACATATATAAAATTTTATAGGACTAGGGTTTCCAAGAGATGAGATGTGGAAGGCCAGGCCAGCAGGACCAGCAAGGACAAAGCAACTCAGACCCAGAGAGAGGCTGATAGCTCAGCAAGACTGAGAAGGCTGGTATCATCAGGAAGGGGACGGGAAGGCGGGCTTGTGCCCTACCAGGTATTTATAGTGTTATCTGCTGGGGGCTGAAAGCTGAGTCAAGCTGCATTTAAAATACAGGATTACATTCTGGTGGAAAGAACCAGGTCCCTTATTAATAGAAAACAAATTCCCAGAGGGAGGCTTCCAAGGGGAGATGCAGGCTGGGACAGCCGATCCTGGCTTCACATCTGTGGGGTCTTCAGATCTTGTCTCTCTGTACACAGGTTTTCCTGAGCTGTAACCTTTTGTTTTAAAACTCTGGTTCAAGCAGATTAAAAAATCTCTTTCCCTGGGGGGAGGGGCTGGAGAGATGGCTCGGCAGTTAAGAGCATCTGATGCTCTTGCTCTTGCAGAGGACCCAGGTTTGGTTCTCAGCACCCACATGGTGGCTCACAGCCATCTGTAACCCAGTTGCAGGGGATTCAACATCTTCTTCTGACCTCCATGGGCACCGGGTATGCTCATGATGCACAGACGTAGACACATACATCACATAAAATAAATAATTTAAAAAAACCCTCCCTAGAATCCTTTAGCACAGCTGAGGAGGGCTGAGGTCAAAGACACATTTTTGCATGTGTGTGTACCCGTGTGTGAAGGTGTGCACACACAGCTGCTCCTGCTTATCATTTAAGCCTTTGGGAGAACTAACAACATCATTTTATGGTTTATTCTATCTCCTAGTATTTATTAGTCAGCCTAACATTTTTGATGTGAGTGAAAGAAAACCCAACACAAACCAGCTCATCTCAGAAAGGAAATGCATGCGATATCCACGATGGAAAAACATCAAGGCGATCATCAGAACAGCTGGATTCGGGACTCAAATGGGGTCTTTAGTACTGTCATAGTTAATTCATTGTCAAGCTGAATGGATTTAAAATCACTTAGGAGACATATCTCCGGCATGTCTGTGATAGTCAAGCCTCAGGTAGACCTTCCAGAGAGGGTTATCTGAGGAAGGAACACTCGTCCTGAATGTGGGTGTCATCTCCCATGGACTGGCAGTCAAGCCCCAGACATCAGCTCTAGCCACGGGAAGACTGTGGGACACACACAATGGGCCACCGTTCAGGGTGTACATCCTCTTCTGTCACCTGCTCTTTCTTGTCTTCTCCAGTAGAGCTAAAACGGTAGATAGGGCTCTTGCTGGGAACCAGGCTGGCTTGCTCCAACTTATGTGTGCCTAGGGTAGGGCACAGCAGCTGGAAGAAAATGTGTGAGGCAGGAAGGCCACCCTTAGGACAGTAGTGGCTCTTCCTTCCTTCCTTCCTTCCTTCCTTCCTTCCTTCCTTCCTTCCTTCCTTCCTTCCTTCCTTTCTTTCTCTCTTTATTTTTTGTTACTCTTTCCCCATCCTCTTCACAGTTGTCTTGAGACCAACTCTAACCCCCTGTGTATCTAGGTCACTCAGGCTGCCAGGTCCCCAGCAGAAGGGAAAGCTCCGGGTATCCCCACCCCCCAACACAAGCTGCCGGCAAGAGCCAGGCCTGAGACCCAGCTTCCCATGGATGGCCTTCACCACCCTAGCTCCTCACCAGGTGTCTCAGGGACCAAGGAGACAGCAGGAGCCTGCCTGCTACCTTCCTCCAGCTCTGGCATTGTGGGTGTGCGCGTGTGTGTGGAGGGCACTCTGAAGAGACTGTGCTGGCTTTATCTGCTACCCATTTGTTCCCTGGTCCTCTGGCCCATCCTGACTGTCAGATGTTCTGACAGCCACCCAGGAATTCCTTGAAGCGTCCTCCTGACCCGCTCAGCTTCTCTCTATCCAGAACCAGCCCCTATACCATGCACCCCAGCGGGACCCCAGATGTACCCCAGCCCATGGGAAAGCCCCCGCCCCCGCCTTGCCTGTTCACTGCCAGGCCTCAGCCAGGTTCCCAAGGAAGGGACCCCTGTCAGACAGTGTCCCACCGGAGGGCAGAGGAGTGTCTTCCCTGGGGCTTCCCCTTGCTGGCCCGGGAGCTAATGGCCCGGCTAGGCTGAGCTCCTCCTTGACTTGCTGTTCAGCAAATGAGATCACTCGTTTTAATCAGCCTGTCTATGTGCTGCCTGCCCGCCCACCCCTGCGCTCCCCCGCGCACCCCTGCCTTGCTCCCCTTGCCCTGTGGGTGTCTTTCCTGTCCCAGCCTCCATAGTCAAACATGAGTCACTTGCTGACAATTCAGCAGCCAAGCTGCAGAGCCTGGTTCCAAAAGCCATTAGAAGAAGATGCTGGAGGACTAATACGGGACTCTGTGTTCAGAGCTAAGCACCCAGTCAAGGCTGGGGAAACGGAAGTGGAGTGGCTGGCGGAGCGGGGGACGCAGGGGGTGCCACGTGTCCTGATTCTGGCTCTCTCCTGTGTCTCTTTTTTCTCCAAGAGCAGAGCCTTCATGTGGAACTCAGTGGTCTCTCAAGTCTCTTGAGGTCACAGATTGCCACGGTCAACTCCTTCACCAGTGCTCAGGACACCAGTGACCCTGTCTAAGCAGGAATCATAGTCCCATACAAATGGGGCCGCCCAGCAGGGCCTGTAGAGACAGCAGCATGAAGGAAAGCCTTGTCCTGTGCAGGAGCCACAAGCCTGGACCAAACGACAACACTGGTCAACAGTGGGGCACAAGAGCATAATGGAGCTGAAAAATTCCTGTCCCCTAATGACACTGTAGCCATCACAGGCTGCGGCAAAATACATCTCCATGTGTCTGTGATGACTCTGGTCTCAAGGAACCTGCTGCACATGGTGCTGGTTTGTGTCTGCAGTATGGTGCTTTTCCTTGTGATTTTAGGGTACACTATGTAGTAAAAGCTTCACTGTAAGGCATGTGCCGTAGGAAATGGCCAGGTCTGTCCAGGGTTTACAGTGTCTGTGGTGGCATTGTTCCCTCTGTGTTCTGTCTAATCTGGTAGTGTCCTGCTCATCACGGGCCTCGGAGCAACAGGCTCTGCCACACATATCTCACATAGCCAGATGTGTGGTAAGGTTATCAGCTTGGTGTGTCTAAGTGCACTGTGATCAGACAATGACAGAACCTTCCAACAGTCTCAGAATGCGCCCTCAGCGCTAAGTGACACGTGACTGCGCCGAGCACAAACAAAGAGGCAGTCACGTGTGTAAGGAAATAGGCGAGGCTCTTTTGGGGCCAACACTCCACCCCTGACTCTGGAATCCTCTATCTGGAAAGCGGGATGGAACAGGGCTTGGCACAGTGATACATGCCGGCTCTGGGGAGATGGAGGCAGAAGGATCAGCCTGGGCTGCATAGAAAGACCTTATCTCAAAAGTAAAAATGGCCTGGAACAATGGCTAAGCAGTTAAGAGCACTGTGGCTCTCGAAGACGACCTAGGTTAGGTTCCCCCAGCTCCCATCTGGGGGTTCATACCACTTCTAAGTTCAGTTCTAGGGAATCTGATGCCCTGTGGCCTCCTTGAACACCAGGCATGTACATAGTGCACATACATGCATTTAAGCAAAACACTCATACACATAAAATTTTTAAAAATTAAAGTAAAATTACACACACACACACACACTCATGTGCGTGCACAGAGTCCCACATGGAGTTCACATTCATGTTCATGTTGTCATGGGCTCCCTGTGGGTGGACTGTGCGTAGTTCTCAGTGCTGGGGCAGGTCCCCTCGAGGACCTGCTCTGTAAATGTCAGGTACAGCAAATGCCCTGGAAACTTTCAGACCAGGGTGTGTGTGTGCAGCTGCCCTCAAAGTACCTTAAAGCCACGCCGGCGTTTCCCAAGATGAGTGCAGCTTGTGGGCCAGCCCCTGCATTCCCAGGGATGCTGGGCTCATCACTGACAACCTCACACCCCATGCTCTGTGTAGAGCTGATACTCTTTTTTGTGTGTGTTTGTTTGTTTGTTTGTTTGTTTGTTTGTTTTGGGGCACAGGGTTTCTCTGTGTATCCCTGGCTGTCCTGAAACTTGCTCTGTAGACCAGGCTGGCCTCAAATTCAGAGATCCCCCTGCCTCTGCCTCCCTCGTGCAGGGATTAAACGCGTGTGCCACCACTGTCCTGCTTAGAACTGGTATTCTTAAGGTAGTTGTTAATATTTGCTGAAGAGCTGAGCCTGGCCCCAGACAGGATGTTGGGCAAGTAAATGACTGTCTGGCTGCTTGCATATGTGAGTTGTGTTGACCCTGTAAGAAATCAGAATGAAATCTGTTCACCTGCCTCAGCTAGAATGCAGTGGTGTGCTGGCATGATGGCTTCCTTTATGAAAACCACTTTAAAGCATTCCTTTTACTCGGAGTCCCTTTTGAGTGTGTCTCATTTTGGACTGAGCCGATTACTTGAGGGCTCCCCTGCTCTCTGAGTCTGATGATGCTCTGGCCTAAAAGCAGTGACTAACCTCAGAAGAAGAAAGGCTTCATGTCACAGAGCGCCCCTTCTGAAAGGGAAGCATTCCTGAGATTTCAGGTGGAAGCTGCAGCAAGTTGCCTTCTATCTGGGGACTGGCTCGGGCCACCTGCCATCAGAGCCTGCAAGCATCTCTACAACTACAAAGCAGAAGGACTCTGGGCCTGTGGATCTGTTGGCAACACCCCAATAATCATAGGTACCGTGAGGATAGCACTGGAGCCGAGCTTCCCAGCTCACAGGCAGAGGCGCGCTCCTGCCACCTGGCAAGGGGTCCTTGCCGGAGGGCCACTCATGAAGGATGCAGAGCATGCAGGACCACTGCAAATTGTTGCAAGCGTTTGTGTTCATCTAGGTCAGAAATATATTCTAGCACAGCAGGCCCGTGATTTCACTCACGTTATTATCATTCAGGTTGTAGAAAAAGCACGTGTTTGAATTAGAACAAGTGGCTCCGTTTGCTAAAACATGCTTCATGGCACAGACAACAGAAGCCGTGAGAGTGGCACACTGAGGTCTGGGGCTTTGGCTGTGCTTTGTTGCTGTGGCCATTGTTGTAAAAGAACACACTTGCTCTGAGATCCCTGCTATGGCCTTCTGTCACAGTGATCGGAATTTCTGAAGTCCACGCAGTGTGTGATAAATATTCAATATGGATGTAGGAAGTGGACCTGATTGAGGTTTGTGGTGTTGTTGTTTTGCCTTCCTTCCTTCCTTCCTTCCTTCCTTCCTTCCTTCCTTCCTTCCTTCCTTCCTTCCTTCCTTCCTTCTTTCCTCCCTCCCTCCCTCCCCCTCTCCCTTCCTCTCTTCTCCTTCTCCTCCTCTTCTCCTCCTCCTCTCCTCCTCCTCCTCCTCCTCCTCCTCCTCCTCCTCCTCCTCCTCCTCCTCCTTCTCCTTGTCTAAGTAACAACGTTTTCAGGAGTCTCATCTACAGCAGACTAGGAAGCCAAGTGCTGGAGAGATGGCTCATACAGAGGACCCAGGTTCAGTACCCAATACCCAAATGATTGTTCAAAACCATCTGGAATTCCAGTTCCAGGGGATTCAACAACATCTTCTGGCCTTATATCCCTTTAATGCCATCACTCACAGGCAGAGGCAGAAGGATCTTTCTGAGTTCAAGGCCAGCCAGATCAGCCAGGGCTACACGTAGAATCCTGTCTTAAAAACAAACAAAAACTAAACTAAAAAGGAAAAAAGAAAGTCAAAAGGAGGCTGGACTGAGTGAGCCTTGCAAGGGCTACCACATCACTTCAGATCATCCTAACTTCTGATCAGACCTGAACTTGAGCTGGCTGGCATGCCTGGATGAGCAGAAGGAGGGCAGAGGAAATCATCCCTGGAGGAAGATAATATCCAGAGCTTTAATGATCTTTCACAGTCCTGTTTCATCTGACAGCCAGTGGAATGCAGGAATACAGGAAGACCAAAAATCAAGAGTAAACAATGTACTAAAAGCATATCGCCAGTGTGCCCAGGTAGATGGGAGATTGGGACTGAACTTTCAGATCTATGCAATCAACATAGCCAAGAAGCCAGGAAACCAAAGCTTCAGCTGAGAACTGGAATTATAAGAAATGGAATCAAATGAAAATTCTGAAATAAACAACAAAGAGCTGATAAATTTAATGGAAGATCTGTACATGTAGAATCCAACACGTTGTTGAGGGAAATTAAGGATTGTGAGTAAGTGGAGAGATATACTGAATTCCTGAGCTGGGAGATGGGTGTGTTTCCATGGCCAGCTCTTCACAACAGTTACTAATTGAAGTGCCAGATTTTAAGAGTAGAAACTGAACCTCATTCTAAAACACATGTGGTCATACAAAAGACCTAGAACATTTAAACATTTTGTTTTGTTTAAATTTTTTCCTTTTAATAAAATTTTTATTAATTCTTTGAGAATTTCACGCAATGTATTTTGATTGTGTGCGCATACCCCAACTCCTCCCATATCCCCCTCACCCTCCCGCCCACCCAACTTTGAGCTTTTCCCTCCGTCAGGTCCAGTTTGTGTTACCCAACCACTCTGGGAAGCAGGGCTTGCCCTGGAGTATGGTTGACCTCCCAGGGGTCACGTCACTAAGAAAACAGATTCCCTCTCCCAGTCAGTATCAAACGCCAGTGGACCCTCAGCTACAAGCCAAACCTTCTGAAAAAGAGGATGGGGGGCAGGGGCACTGGTGCAAGCTGAGGAATGGGGGGCACTGGTGCAAGCTGAGGAAGGGGGGGCACTGGTGCAAGCTGAGGAATCGGGGGCACTGGAGCAAGCTGAGAAATGGGGGGCACTGGTGCAAGGTGAGGAATGGGGGCACTGGTGCTAGTTGAGGAATGGGGGGCACTGGTGCAAGCTGAGGAATGGGGGGGCACTGGTGCAAGCTGAGGAATCGGGGGGGCACTGGTGCAAGCTGAGGAATCGGGCACTGGTGCAAGCTGAGGAATGGGGGGCACTGGTGCAAGCTGAGGAATGGAGGGCACTGGTGCAAACTGAGGAATCGGGGGCACTGGTGCAAGCTGAGGAATGGAGGGCACTGGTGCAAGCTGAGGAATCGGGGGGGCACTGGTGCAAACTGAGGAATCGGGGGCACTGGTGCAAGCTGAGGAACGGGGGGCACTGGTGCAAGCTGAGGAATCGGGGGC